TGGCGCCCTCAAAATGTTGAGCACGGGCCACCCGTAGGCCCCGTGCTTCCTGCGCGGGGGCGCCCGCTGCCGCTGTGTGTTTGCAAGCACCCCTGCAGAATGGCCGGCTGCGGGCCCCGCGCTCCAGGGGTTGGCTCTTGAGGTTGGGGCGCTTGCGAGTCCCCCTGTCCCGCCTTCGCGGGCGCCTCTCGGCGGCTGCTGCTGCTGCTGCTGCTGCTGCTGCTGCTCCTCCTCCTCCTCCTCCTCCTCGTCCTCCTCCTCCTCGTCTTCCTTCTTCGTCGTCCTGCTTACTTGGCCTTCAGGAGGTCGTGATGACTGGACGCAGCTCGAAAGACGAGTCTGGATGGACTCCAAGAGGGGTCCATGGGTCGATTGTCTGAGCGGATGCTTCCGCCGAAACAGTTTCCCTGGAGAAGCGAGGGGTAGATGAGGAAGAGGATAGTGGATAGATAGAGGACGGATGACAGAGGATGGAACATGGTGGGAGAAAGGCGGCTGATGGATTATGTAGGACTGCGTAGGATGGAGGAAGAGATCGGGGTGACGGAGGATTGGTGGTGATGGTGGTGGGAGGAAGAGGATGGGCGAGGGGGATGAGGATTGAGCGAGGACGAAGAGAAGGAACATGCGTCAAATGATGAGGACGGAATGATGAGAAGGACGTACGGTATGGGCACATGCAACGAACATCATAAGAACACAGGGTTGGAAACTGTCATCGCGGGAGACATGACAACGAACATTGATGCAGCTATGAGGACTTAACAACATGAGGGGGAGCAGCAGCAGCAGGAGCAGGCGGAGCCCGAAGAGCAGGATGGGGGATGAGGGTGAGGATGAAAGGATGGAGGCTGAGTTTGAGCAGCAGCAGCAGCAGCAGCAGTAGGAAGATAGAGGGAATGACAAGGCGGAGGCGAAGGAGAAGGATGGAAGATGCAGAAAGCGGAGACGAAGGAGAAACTGAGCCTGGACCAGTGCGAAGGCGGATCATGAGGGAAGATAGTGCGGATGAGGAGCGCCATGTTACTGGGATGGGGATGAGGAAGGGGACACAAAAGACGGACAAGGAAGACAACACAGGAGGCAGGCGACTGGACAATAACTGGTATGAATGAGGGTGAATCACGAGGAAAGATGTATATCAGGATGCCCAGGAGGATAATCAATTATCAAGATAGGGATGCGAATCATGATAAATGAGGAGGGAAGCATCAAAGGATAATGATGGCAATGACGGCGGATGGACGATTGTGATGGCGGAGAAGGACGGCGGGAAGAGGATTCCGTAACTCCTTGTGTATAAACATATATCTATATACACAGAGAGTTAACGACTATGGAGGATGAGATGAGGATGAAGATGTTGACGGGGAGAGAGGAGAGGGTGAAAAAGGAGGCCTGCCAACTGGTGACCACTGTGACAAGGATCGCAGACGACCGCGGGGAGAGAACGGCAGCAGAGATGGGGGAGGGGGGACCCTTCGCCACAGCTGAATCAGGTCAGCTGGCTCCGTGCCTCGCGCCGTCCGAGGCGCGGTCGTCTTCGCGCGCTCGAGCCGCCCTACCGGAGAAGGGCAGCCCTCGCGCCCAGATCGCGGAGATCAGGGCGCGCTTATATCCGCGCCCCCTGCCGGCGACTCGGGCAGCGCCTCGCTGCGCAGGCTTCCAGGCCCCAGGCTGTAGCGGAGGAGGGGGCGCTCGATACGCCCGCTGGCGCTCTTCGGCAAGGAGTTCCAGATCGGCAACAACTTCTTCTCGATGGCGGCCAACTTCTCCTGAAGGAAAAATGTGAAGGGAAACGGAAAGGAGGTGGAGGAGTGAGGAGAGGGCAGGCGGAGAAGGACGACGAGGTGGAGAGTGATGACGCATGGCGGACGAGGACAGTCTCGGCAGGTAAGCTTATCTGCTCCATAGCGTCCTTCCTCTTATCAGGAACATCCTCTCCGCAACCCAGCGTATCGCCTAAGGCATCGCGGAGATTGCTGTAGAACAAATCTTTGTCGACTGTCGCCCTCAGCGTGCCTTTGCGCTGCACCAGCTCTGTCCTGACCGCGTCTCGCCTCCTCATCCTTTCCCACACCCCTCGGCATCCGCCTAACCTGCCTTCTCCACCTTCTCACCGTCACCTCTTCCTATTCCTCCTGCTCATCCTTCTTTTTCTCCTGCTCCTCCCTTCCTTTTTTCCTACCCCTCATCCCCCTGCATCATCCCCGTCAAAGTCCCCCCACTTCCCTCCTTCGCCCTCCTCCTCCTGCTCCCTTGCCTCCCCTTCCTCCTCTCCCCCTCCACCCTGCTCCTCCATTCCTTCTCCTGCTCCTGCATCTGCTCCTCTGTAAGCTGCCGCGTCTTCTACTGCCACTGCTGTTCCTGCTGCTCCTGCTGCTCCTGCTGCTGCTGCTGCTGTTTCTCCTCCTGCTCCTCCTCCTCCTCCTCCTCCTCCTCCTCGCTCCTCCTCCTCCTCCTCCTCCTCCACCTCCTCCTCCTCTTCCTCCTCCTCCTGCTCCCTGCTGCTGTTTCTCCTCCTCCTCCTCCTGTTCCTCCTCCTTCTCCTCCTCCTCCTCCTCCTCCTCACTGCTCTTCTTCCTCCTCCGCCGCCTCCTCCTCCATTCCTTTTCCTTACACATGACTTTTCCGTGTCGCACCCCGAGGCCAGTTTTTAGGACGGGGCGGGCGTTTCGCTTGAAAATTCATCACCATTTATGACTTTGAAGCTCAACATTGGCAACAGCTTCACAGATGGGGGGCGGATCGTTTTCAAAATGTTGCTCTCGCCTTAGCGCGGCCCACATTCGTTCAAACACATTGCAAGAGTTTCACGGATTGAGGGTGGGGCGTTTGCAAAATGTGGTTCTCGCCTTAGCGCGGAGCACATCTGCAAGAGTTTCACGGATTGAGGGTGGGTTTTTTTCAAAATGTGGCTCTCGCATTAGCGCGGCGCACATTCGTCCAAACACATTGCAAGAGTTTCACGGATTGAGGGCGGGGCGTTTGCAAAATGTCGCTCTCGCCTTAGCGCGGCGCACATTCGTTCTAAGCACTTGACGGATTGAGGGCGGTTCCTTTTCAAACGGTGGCTCTCGCCTTAGCGCTGCGCACATTCGTTTACAACATCTTAAAGGGTTTCCCGGATTCCCACCAGCGTACCAGAAATTGTGTTTTGGAAGGATTCAGGACTATGCGGGTGCAACAATTACGTTGGTTCTCTGTGTTGAAGTCCTAGGAATGGCGTTCCGGCACGATTCAGGATCGTCAAGACGCAACAATCAGGTTGATCCGTGGCGTTGGAATCCCGAGAAAAATGTCTTGGCATGCTTCAGGATCTGCAATCGGGTGTCTTCCAACGAGGCAGTTCCATCAATGGAAATGAACCGTGTTGCAGGGGCCTATGAAGAGGGAGCTTGGAGGGAGGGTTTACTCTAACATCGTTGATGACTCTTGGATTTAAAACGGTCCTTCTCTTCCTCCTCCTCCTCCCTGCAACTCCCTGTCCTCCTCCTTCATCCTCCTTATCCTCGTGCTGCTCCGCCTCCTCCCTGCCTTCTGCTCTTGCTGTTGCTCCTCCTTTTCCTCCCCCCCTCCCTCCCCCTTTCCCGCTCCCTCCCCCCCTCCCTCCCTCCCTTTCTCCACCATCCTCCTGCTCCTGACATGTTCCTGCTCATGATCTTACCGCCGCTGCTGTTCCTCCGCCTCTGGTCCTGGCGTGGACGCAAGCGGGGATCGCAATGGCGGCGAAGATGTGGGCCGCGAAAGCTGCAGGAGCTGGCATGACTTCAGAAAATGTAGGCTAAGGTTACTTGGTAAGGCGTTTGTGAACCGCAAGAGGACGGGGTATCGCTCTCTTTTCTTGGGCCGGCATGGCCATTGCGGAGATGAAGGAGGGCGAGGAGGAGCAGCAGCGGAATAATCGGAGGCAGCAGCGGCAAAACCAGCAAAAACAGCAGGCGAAGCAGCAGCCTGAGCATGACGAAGATGGGGATGCCCCCTTCCCTCCCCGCTTTCCCCGCGCGTGACGAACAGGCACCCGCATTCACACGCCGCCTGCGGGCCCGCGTGAGGCCTGTGAAGGCCTGACAGCTGCGACCCCAGACGGGGGGGGCGCAGCGGGGGGAAGCGCACCGTCGGAGAGGGCGCGCCCGCGCAACGGAGAAGAAGTGTCAGGGAGGGAGGGCTGCGCGGCCCGTCTGGGCCAGCAGCGGGCAGCGCGCGTGGCGCTGCAAAGCTGCCCGAGAGGCAGCGGGAGGCCGTGCAGAGGAGCGGCTGCGCCGGGGCGAACCTCGCCCGTGTGACCAGGCGGGAGCCGCGCGACGGCCGAGGGGGAAGCGGCCGACGAGCGCCCGACGGCGCCATCCCTGCAGAGCGCTGGAGGCACCCTCGCGGGAGCGTGCCGCGGCCGCGCAGCGTGGACAGGTGCCCGAGGCGAGCGGCAGTGGGCGCACGGCCGCGGTCAAGCAGCGCTGAGGGACCCGCGAGAGAGAGAGGCGGCAAGCCACAGGGGCGAGGAGCACGCGGCGAGGGGGCAGCAGTGCAGGCGGCGGGCCAAGAACCGAGCCAGCATCCCGAGCCCCACGGCGAGTCAGTTTCGCGAAGCGCCACGCTCAAGCTCGCAGAAGCAAGCAGCCGCGGGCCGCATGTGTGAGCAAAATATAGGGGGGGCGACGGGGTTGCGAGCAGCAATCGCCCTTGACGCACTCAGAGGAAGCTTCGGATTGCATGGGTGCTGCCTCGCAAGGGTCTGCACAAAAATCACAATCCATCGTGCTAATGGTACATCGCTGCTCACATGCTCAAGAGCAAGTAGGTATACAAGCGAAAGTGCAAACAGGGACTAACACACGACAACATATGGCCGCGAAAAACGTCGCTACCGAACTCGCCGCGCAACTGGCACTACTCTTGAGCGACCCGAAAGACTCACGCAAGATACTCTCGGTGCCAACGATTGGCCTGCGGCCAGGGGAACGAGGGGGGGAACGACGGGAGCATGCGCCACGCGACGACGA